GTGGGTTTTTTACCACTAGTGCTGCCTGGGAGGTTTCTAGCAGGCAACAAATACAAGGTTCTCAAGGAAATGCCAGAGAGCTGAATAACGCATATGCAGGATAATCAGTTCCTGGATAATTAGAAATCGGCAGTATAGAGACTGGACGTCTAAAATTTAGAAGAATCACATTGAATTTCTAAAATGAAAAGAAAGCCAATTTTGCAAGCCATTCAAGCTACAGGTTTGCATCAGATTCTGCCTGCCCTGTTGTAAGCTCAGCAGCTTCAGTTGATGGTAAAATCGGCTTTTGTCAGAGTCCAGATGAGGGCTCAGCTTGGGGCTGTCACTGTTTTGAGTGGAACACCTGTGGTTTTGAATTTTTCCAGGGCTCCCCTGCTGCTCGGTGCCATCCTGCTTCTGGTATTTTTAGAGCACTGCTTTGTTTTAAGTAACGCCATATTGCAAAGGTACTTGGAGTCAAACTGGACATTGTTAGAGTCAGTTATTTGGTATCGGCATAAAGCATTTTGGAAGTACTAAGAGCAATTTTGATACAATATTCATTGAGTCTAATATATTAAAGAGGAGGGAGCAATGGGTTACCCCCTAGGGGAGATATTCCAACCAGGGCCGCATTACTCTAGGGCAAACAAAGCAATTGCTTTTAACCGGGCCGCCAAAAGCAAGAGAACATAGTTTTGAAAACATTTAGTATTTGAGAGTTTTTAAAATGATAGTATTAATAATTATGGAGAAAACAAACTCTGTCAAATGTCCTTACATTTACAGCTGGTAGAACTGGGAGCAGAGACAATTCCAGAATATCTACAGAGAAACAGCTTATTGGTAGCAATCTGGTGGGTCAGTGGTGCTAGAGACATGTCTGAAAACCACACTGAAATGTTTGAAGGGTCCTAAAAGGAATACTGGATGGGGATTTGATGGAAGGTATAGGGAAAGAGCTAATTGCCTACACTTCTCATCTGACCCAGCCCACCCTCTCTGTAAGTCATATGATGGTGCTACCATGGGGAAGGGTCTTCCTGGTCCTCAGAGTCTCTGACTGTCTTAATTCAACTGCTAATTCTTTGGAGCAATGATAGTACTCTAAGAAATCTCAGCAACATTAGGAACAGGGGAGGTAAATCTCTGCTTCCTATTTCTCTACACGGTTGAAGGGCAACATGGTTATGGCCCAGCAGATGTTTCAACCTTGAAAAAGAGTACAGAAAGGACAATATATCTTACTTCTCTTTCTGTGCCCAAGTTGCTAATAACTGACTTAGTGTCTCTAGATCAGGGCCAGGCTCATCTTTCTATTCTCAACACAGGCACCACTTCCCCCAGAATCACCCCCTCCAGACTGAGCGAATACGCTTGCATGGCCCTTCTTCAGCTCCTATATATCTGTAACCACAACCTTTATCACAGTGCACTGTCATGGCTCCTTCATTTCCCTCTCTTCCTGCTTGATGGGCAGTTCCATGACAGAAGAGGCTCTATCAGTGCTGCTTACTAATGAATTCTCAACGTTCTACAAAGGGTCTACAGATAAAGGCACTTAACAAATGCTTGTGGTATGAATAATTTGAACACATAGGTACTCAATAAACTGGTGTCAGATGACAAGAAAAATAAACCATGTAATCAACATAAACACAGTTATTCTCTCAACTAATTAAATTTTGGTCAACTTATAGATAATTTGTGAAAAAAATCACACCTGCCATGAAAAAGAGAAGTCACATTGGATGTGTTGAGTAGCGTGGCAGAGGATTCATTCTTAAGAACTTGGTGGTGAGGACTTAAATGTTTAAAATAAAAAGAATACTAGGCAAACATTCCAAAAGAGATCAGAGTCTGAACTCAGTCTTATCTACAAAATAAGTACACCCTAGACAAATAATAAGTTCTGAAGCATAAATACAGGAGTACTTTCTAATGCCAAAATAGCATACCATATAAAAACAATATGGAAAGATACCATATAAGCAGGGAAGAAGCACGGGACAATTTCTTCTCAAAATCTAAAAATATAAAGTCTCCACTTCCAAATGACTTAACAGCAGAAAGATTATTAATCTGTAGAACACTTCTGAAGATTTAGTCTCTTCAGGTATGAGTACTAGATTTTAAATGTCTGAATTTCTTTATCATTATTATAAATTTCAAGGTCAAATTCAAAGAGATAAAGTTTTCACATTCATTCTAACCAGTTTCCTGTGAAAAGCAATGTGCACTTTAAAACATACAATTTAGAATCACATGAACTATCCAAGCACTTAATCTCATTTCAGCTTTGCCATATTGGTTTGCTATTTCAATGTCCAACTTACCCAAATAATGTTATTTTGATTACAACTGAATAGGCATTTTTAAATGTCATGGTATTTGAAAGAAAAAATGACCTTGTAATCATAATATACCATTGTGCTGTATAAATTCCAAATATGTAATTTATGTTTGTTCCTCTATATTATAAAAGGCAATTGCCAAGTTTTGACATAAATAAATAAAATGTACATGTTCTATGCAATCATCTGTATTTATTTCTTGATGCTTACAAGGTTTATATTGTTAGGTTTGGTTACTTTTGGTTTTTATTTTTATACTTAGCCTTTCAGAAACAAAAGTCTCCTTTTCATTGCCTTGAAATATTTTAAATGGAGCCAGGTTCAGAAATATAATTTTTCATACGAAAAAAAGTCAACTTGCAAGGAAAAAAGTACTTTGAGATGATTTGAATCCAATTTTTTAATACAAGTTCCCAAAGGACAGCCTAATTATACGTTACTATTTTAGAACTATTAGAAGATAGTCTATATGAAGAACTGAGATCTTAAATTCCATCTTATTAATAAATTATACCTTTAAAATAATAGACTTAGGGAATGATAACTCTGTTCTTTCTCCAAGGATTTGAAATCATATCCTTCTCAGTAATCCATATTTTTAAAACGTTGAAGTAAAGAAGTTGGTCTTTCCTTTTGTCTCGATATCTGATCAATGATTATATTCAAAATCACATTTTACCCTTTTTCTCATGAATTTCTCCTCTTATTTTTACTGTACTTGTCAAATAAGGCACTGTTAAGTGGTATTTTGATTAATACTAGTTCTTCTTCCTTTCTAGATATATGTTAATATATGACCTTTGGGCAATATAATAGTTATGTGTCTATATAAGTACAGACAGGTTGTAACATAATCAAATGTTTTTACAAACAAGATAATTCTCAAAAAAACTTGGAATTTATCTTTTGTGAAAAATAGAATTTTCAACTCATTTGAACTAGGTCTTCAGATTAACGTATTTTTGTTATAAATTTATATTTTTGTGACCTTTGAAAACACATGTGTGGGGATGTGTGTGTGCTCAGTCATGTCAAACTCTTTGCAACTTCATGGACTGTAGCCTGCCAGGCTCCTCTGTCCATAATATTTCCCAAGGAAGAATACTGGAGTGGGGTGCCACTTCCTCCTCCAGGGGATCTTCCCAGCCCAGGGATCAAACCCACATCTCTGGTGTCTCCTGGATTGGCAGGTGGTTTCTTTACCACTAGCGCCTCCCAAGCATCATTAAATGAAAGAATTTTGGAAATCACCTTACCTACATTCAGAGAAATTTTTTTTTTTTTTTTTACCCAGTGGTATGTACTCTTTCATATAGTTCAGTCTCTGAGAAAGTGCTGGGGAGGTCAGGGTGTCAGCCTCTGTATAGTTGTGAATATTAGGATTTCTGGAATTAATTCTTAGTTTTTCTAAGTGATTAATGTTTCCCTTCTCTGAGTCTCTCTTTTTTTTTTATTTTCAAGTGTAATTTGACTGGATTACTGGATGGCAGACTTCTTTTTTAATGAGGTCTAATTTAAGGAAAAAATCTTTAAATGATGAATTGCCACTTATCATGGACTGGTCTTATCATTTGGAGAAAATGCAAATTCTCAAACAAGTTTCTTAGTTTATCAAAGAGAAAAGTTTCAATAAAAATGATCTTTTAAAGCCAATAAATATCTCAGTATTTGGAAAATAAAATACATATAGTGTTATAATTTTTATCGTAAAATTTAAGGAAGGATTAACTGGTTTTTTGATTTGGAAATATTTGTGAGAATTGATCAATTATAAAGAAATTTCCAATTCAAACTGTCTGCATTACTTGCTTTTGCAGAGCAAAATTTTCCTTTTTTCAAGAGCTACAGTTTGGAGTTTGTTATTGAAGTAAAAATGTATACTTGTCAATCAATTCTGCAATCCTTTTTTTAAGCAGTACATGCAACTTACTTGTGAGAATTTATTCATGTACATAATTGAAATTTGAGGGCACATTTATGACCCTTGAATTATTAATGCTATCATTTATTTTTTATTAAAAAATGCTTTGGAGACCAGCATTTAGTCACCGCAAATCTAAACTTAATTTTATAGGTATTTTTCACTGATTAAGTCTTTGCAAAAATTAACATACATAAAATATGCATGTTATATACATATAACATGAATGTGAACATGAGAATGTTTTCATGTGAATCAAAACTTGGCTTATGACTCAGCATTCACAGAATCTAATATACACATCTTGCCCTTCTGTATTAAAGCAACAAGCAGATATCTAACAAAAATTGTTCATAGGAGTCCCTGTTTGTTTCCTTCAGACTCTGGAGCTTCATTAGGAACGTTTTTTTCTTTCTTTTTAACTTTATTCTCCCTAGTTGGTATATGGGAACCCGTTCAAAGGAAACATCTAAAGGCTGAGCATTTTCTTGTCTCCTCTGAGAACTTGGAATCTGCCAGTACTAGTGAGGATGATGAAAGAGGAATACCAAAAGTTTAGAGCAAAGATAAATAAAGGACTGTTGCTTGGCTTTTTCCTGTGAAGTTGGAGAAGTTGGCCTTGGAACCAAAATTACATAACTTTATTACTAATATTACTTTTGGACTATCTAGTTGTTTGCAATAACTATTAAGGCTGCCTTCTCCTATACAGTGTGGGTAACATTAGAAAAGTAAACAATTACCAAAACAATCTCAGCTTCCAGGGGTTCAGTTGCTTTTGCTATTGTCACTGGGGGTGAGCCTGCAATCTGCACCTTCCGTTTGGCCTTTTGTGTCTGAAGATTGGTAAAGTAGTTGACAGCAGCAAACTCAATAAGAGCAGAGAAGACGAAAGCAAAGCAAACAGCTATGAACCAATCCATGGCGGTTGCATAAGACACTTTTGGCAAAGAGTGCCGGGCACTGATGCTTAAAGTGGTCATGGTTAAAACAGTGGTGATTCCTAAAACCAAACAGAATAAGAAATGCAGTATTAGCATTTGCAATCGAATAACAGGCTTAAATGGGAACTTATTGGAGAAGATTTCAGTTACAAATGTAATTTTTGTTATTTTATTATTTTAATTGTTCACAATTATTATCATAAGCATTCATATTTTTGTATCTTTCAATAACTTGCATATATTGTAGTTGCTCAAAAAGTTATTTTTTGAAGTGATTTAGTTTAACAATAATAATATAATAGTAAATTACTATTACATGAGTAATACAATCTTGAACTTCTGATCATATTTAATGCTGATATAATATTTCATCATATTAATAAGTATTTGTATAGATGATAAATACAAAATTAAATTTCACAATATTTTAATCTCTAGATTGGTTTTAAGATAAAATATTTAATCACAAGAAAATAATTTCATCACTCATCTTGCAGCAGTTTTCTGTCTTGGAGGATTTATATAATCCAAAGATGATTAGCAACATTATCTAAATATTCTTTTATAATTTACAGAAAGAAATCTGTTTTACTATGGTAAATTAAAAAGTCAGAATTCATCTGAGATTTCAATTAAACTTAGGTCTTCCCTATGAACTAGTAAACTTAGTATCATGAAAGCTGAGAAAAAAATTGAGCTTTGTTACAGAAGATATTTTCTGTTATAGCTCTTTTTCTTTTTTCATTTTGTTCCATCACACTGTTAGTGATTCTATATAGCATAAATGTAACTAAATATTTAGGCTGAACAACAGGAAATTAGTGATATTTAACTATTTTTAGACCTAAAAAATGGCAAATTTTTTATAATCCTACCTTATAAAAGGGAGATATAGTGTATGTATTCATGGGTTCAGTATCTTAGCTTTTGTTTTCATTGAATTACATGTCATTTTAAATTTTCTGCTTTTTCTAGTTATGAAAAAGCAAATTGAGATAAGAAATTCTCCAAAATAGGGCACATGAAAGTCATAGGAAACCAGCCAGAATTCTTGCTGAGACAAATCTTTTGTTGATTCACCACACAAGTTGTGATAAGATGAAGGTTACTTCATATGAAACATGTGTCTGAATGAGATAGGAGTTTATTTCCTTTGCGGATTGAAAAAGTTCACTGGTGTGAATATTCCCCTTGAAATACACAAGGAATGTGAGCTGGAGGATGATGGAAAGGAGAGCCCAAAGAGTGAAGCATACCAAAGACAGTTCTGGCTGGAACAGACTCCTTATTAATCCAGAAAGACACTTGGGAAAGAATGACTGTCATAATGCAAGGAGTATAGATCTGTATCATGAAGTAGCCCATCTTCCTTTGCAAGTGGAAATAAACTGTCATTATTACGTATTCACCTGTTGGAAGACAGGTATGTCAGTATTATTGCTGTTGACAATGTGCAAAAAGAGTGCAGTTAGAAATAAATCTTACAGATCCTTAAATTAATATGTGTAGGAAGAAAACAAGCAAAGACATTTTTCAACGTATGACAAGGTTAGTCGATCAGCAGATGATAAATGCATCAGCCTATTGTTTTCTGTGGAGTTCTTTGTGTCACATACATACAAAACTACTCACTCCAAGGCTATACAAATCCTTATATATGCACATGGTTGCAAAATCCATCTTAAAGCTACTCATCACTTTAAAACTTCAAGTTTAGCTGAGGATGGCTAATGCAGAGGAAAAACAAATAGATATTTTGAAAATGTGCACTGGAGTCACCTTGTAGGATTCCATTCACATGTTGGTTAAATTCTTACCTGTGTTAGATTTAATTGTCTCACTAGATACTGTTTGTCCAATCAGATCATACTGAAGGAGACTTGAGGATTCTTCCGGGACTTCCACTGAGTAAAGTGGTCCTTTTTTCCATGTGTATATGATTTCACTTTTGGGGTAAGCATCTGAATTTTTTAAACAAATTGCAGTAAATCTGGCTAGTTGTGTTTTTTTTCTTTCAAAGCAAATCTTGTCCATTATGAAAAGAAAATACAAGCATAAATTTTAAAAAATACTTTTCTTTAATCCTGGTGACCAAAACCTCTATGCATAAGATTGACAGACATGATTAAGTAAGTTAATTACAGGAATTATACAGAGAATATCAGAGTAGAACTTCTCTTTTGCTTTCTAACATGACTAAGACCAAATAATTATGTATTTTGAATACATTATTTAACTCTCAGAAGCATTGGGTCACTTACAACTGCCAAATTTGAGCGGACACGCATGCCCATCCATAGGAAAGTTAACCAGTTTCATAGGACAGTCAGCGTTGATGGTGAGCCTAAGGAACATTGAAATAAGTGGTTCTGAGTTAGTATGATGGACAAATCCTGTGAGCAGAGGACAAAGACCTGGGGAAGCCTCACCTCATGGTGTAGAGAACGGTTCCGTTCTGCATTATTCGGAAGAGTTTATTAGGTGTTGTCATGTTGTGAGCAATTGATTTTTTGCCATTCCTGAAAAAAGTGTCAGGTGTCCAGATTTTACTGACCATCAGGTTATTCAAACTCAAAATCTCAGTTGGCCCCCCAAACTTCAACCTCTCATCGGTCCAAGTCTGGCGGAAAAAAACGTCCATCGTGTACTCCTAAGAGAAAGTAAAATATTCACGCATGCTGGGTAGATGGTTTATTAAGAATAGTTTATTCACTAGCTTACATACTCAATACTAAAAGTTATGAAATAAAGCAACGTTTTATGACAATAGACTATCAGGAGAACTATAACCAGTGAATTATTACTTTTCACACTGTAAGATTATAATATTATTATAGACAATAGTGTTGATATTGTATAAACCTGCCTTCTCCATGTTCACCTTCAACATTCTTCCTTTTTTCTATCAGTAATCCATGTCTCTATCTACTGACCTACTGATTTCTCCTTTAATTTAGAATAAAAATATAAGATTTAATCTAGGTTTTGTGTTGACCTTCCTACCATCAATTAGTATAATCATTCCTCTTAGCAACTTGTTTACCTTCAAATGTATATCTGAGCAATGCAGTGCCACTTAGTACAGTTCCAAGGATTGAGAAACTTGACTTGATAAGCATACTTTGTCTGCACATCATAATTATTTTATATAGTTCTCAGAGAACATAAAAGCAAACATTATTATGATTACTCAAACAGAGCCTCATTTAAGTATGCATAATCAAAATTATGTTTTAATTTGTGGCTTTTATGAAATAACATTAAGAACTTAAGTATTATGATAAAGGCCTTTGCAAAAGTCAGTGATAAATAGCAACTTATAATTATGTCAAAATATTGCAAAGAATTGCTTTGTATCCTTTATATGTTTCTTTATGAGACTATTACTGCAAGTGGTGATTATATTTTAAAAATATAATTTGACATACAATATATCCATATAATGGTGATCCAGGCTATAACAAGCCTCTCTTGTATAAATACACTTAAAAAAGTGACACACGCATAAAATAAAGTTCTAAGTGTCCCCAGATTTCAATGCTACAGTAGAATATAGGTATGATTATTTATTCTTAGTGTGAGTCATGCTCAAATGAAAAAATTGATAGTTAAATTGTTGAGGAATCTGAAGAAATGCTGACTCCTTTCTCTCATCTCTTAAGACATTTATCTCCTAAAGTGCTCCTTAGTTTCTGCCCCTCTTCCTTGTTATTTTTTCTTACTCTTTTCTCCTTTCCTTTCTCTTCCCCTTTTTACTCCTTTCCCCCGTATTACATTTCTATTCCTTTCTTTTCTGCTTATATTCTCAGATCAAAGAGCAGAAAATGAAAGTCTCTAATAACTGTTCATCTAGAATTACACCCCCCTAGTACATTTAATGTACCACTTTAAAGAGTTCTGTTTTTCCTCAGTTTTAGTATTTATATTTTATTTCTAGGGGGACACACTACTTGAGAAACATGAAAGAATATCATGGTACACTTTGTTCTAAAAAACTGGTTCAGTTTTTCACTGCCACTTACTATAAATACCCTCTTACGAATCCTACAGCCATCTGTACCTGGAACAGAGTTCCCAGAACACCTACTGGTCCATTTGCAAACATAAAAGGTGGAATGCATTAGTCTTTCCAAAGGACCCCCTTTCCTGTTTTAATAACGTACTGAGAAGGGGCACTGCCCAAACAGCCACATTTTATGGTTAATAGGTCTTCTCATTATACTCTTACATGGCATTCCATTTTTCTTATTTATTTACACCTCCATAAATTTCCTAAAACTTCATAAAGATGGGGGAGAATCTTCTCTTTGTAAGGAAGAATCGGCGCTTGATGTGTTAACAGAAGAGAGGATATCATCTTAAAAAGCCTCCTCAGATTCATGTTCAAGCAGAGCCTTTAGTGAAATGTGAAGGAGATTTGGCCAATAATCTGCTCTAATGGCCATTCCTCCCCAGCATGAGTGCATATACTGCTTTTAGATCTGGAGCCAAGTTTGGTAACAATGTCCATTATCATTCGTCCTGGGACTCAGTCCTTTTCTCCTTTAAGCAAAATTACTCTCCTCACTCTGAGCTCACTCACCATCTCCACGTCTGACACGGGCCCAAAACTTGTCACGTAAATGTCTGTTTTGACTTCAGTGACAGCACCTGAAATTAGCCCAAAGGGACATTTATCATCAACGACGTTAAGGGGGTTGAATGGAACGACTGTTTCACAAAGTCCCTTCTCTCAGCCAGAATCTACAACCCATCTTAGAGTAATCCCAGTAGCAAGGGTCCTTTGGTTTTTCAACCCTTAAAAACTCAGACTAGTTGCATTATTTTGAATTTATTCTGGCCAAATTGCAAAGTGTAAGGAAGGAAAGAAAACTGGGTTAGTATTCTAACTACAATAATAATTGTTTAGTGACAGCTTTAATGAATCAAATGCTTAAAACTGTGTTTTATATGGAGAATGTCGTTTACACTGGCACACCCTATGAGACAAGCACTGTTTATGCACCCCACCACTGTGGAGAAAGTGGAGGCTCAGAGTTCCGATGACTCACGTATAAGGTCAGGAATTGCGGGAGGGACGGAGACTGGATGCCCCGGCCCCAACCCCACTGCCCCCGACTTCCCGCTCTGCTGCCCTGAGGCCTCTGGGCCCGGGACTGGCAGCAAGGGGGAGAAAGGTACGTATGTCGCACATAGTCCGGGAAGGGCTCGCCTCTTACCTCCAAATCCCGGTCGCAGCCGATTGTCGTAGCCTTCAAGCAAGTTGTCCAGAATCCGACTGATGTTTTTGGAATAGAAGTTTCCTTCATCTTCAAGTTTCCCTAGGGCATTTTCTACCCTGTGAGTAGACAGTCAGTGATCCTCCCTCCCAGCCTCAGAGAAAATAGGCTGTTCATTCCAGCCCTGTCTACCCCACCATACAGATGAGCCATGCCATCCAGGTTGCTTCTATGATTTGGTATAGAAGTCACCCAGTGGATGCATGCTTGCCCTTGCCTTGGAGCTAAAAGGAAAAGTCAGAAAACAAAGTCTTACCAGAGAACAACGTACAGCCAGGGCAGAGGCGACACCATCCTGCAGTGCACTGAGATGCCCAGCTCGCCCTCCTCCTGCCAGCCAGTTCCCCTTTTCCAGTTAACTCGAGCGCTCTCCGGGACCACTCATAGCCCTTCTTGTTTGGGTCCAGCCACTAATCCAGTAGATGAAGATGAAAAGGTTGCCAGCTGAACGTGCAGGGTTCCCCTTGATCTCTTCACTCTCCGCTCTGTCCTTTCATGTGGAACAAGCTGGTTGGGGGTCTTAGAGTATGTCCCAGTGGACATTTATCCTCCTATGACTGACTCAGTTGGGGAATGAGAGTCTGGAGGGACAGTGCATGGTCAGAGAGCAGTGACAATAATCAAATAAGGCATCAGGGGAGATTAGAAGGGAGAAATTCACTGCTAGTTTTGGCATGGACTTAGCAGGGCCCTGTGAGGAAATCTGGACGGCAGTGGCATCTTGCTGATTGAGATTATGTTCCAATGGGCTCAGCATTTATTATTTCTATGGTTCACAGAAGGATTTCTACATAGCTCTCACTGCTTAAAAAGTCTAACAATATTGAGGTCTTCTTGGATGCTCTTTCTGATTTCACCAGCTTTATTGCATCAGCTACCCCTTTCCTCTCTATTTAAATATTGGTTCTCATTCTTCTTTGGAAAAGCACTTAGAACACATCAGAACAACTTCTGACCATCTTGCTGTTGGATTAGTGTTTTGGTTTTTTGCAAGTACTTTGCTGATCCTTATTGTGAAAGGTGTGGCATCTCAAGCTAAGTTATAAAGTCGAATGCTACCTGTAAGAGACAATATCTGGAAAGAGCTTACAAAGATTTCCATGTTATAAGAATAAAGTATCCATAAACATGGTCAATGATGATGTTGCTGGCACTAGTAGGCTTGTCACAGGTCAGAAGTGGAACGTTTGAAACCAAGGAACAGCATTCTCCCCCTAGTCTGGGAAAGTTGGAGTAATAGAAGTCCTTTAAGCCTTATAATTTTAATCTTTAAATAAAAATAATAAAGTATTGTGAATGTATGTGTGTGTATATATACACATATATGTGTATATATATATATACATGTATATTTTAATTCAGGAACATAAGAGCTAGAAGCGAATGTCTTCTTCACTATCCTCCTGCCAGATCTACCAACTATCTACCTAGTTCACAGTCTGTATTTTCAGCACCTAAATTCTACACAAGTGATGGTAATTGAAGCTATATAGCACAGTCCTAAGCATTATTTCTCAAGACGCGACATAAATAATTTGAGAAACATTTCAAGAAATTAGCTATAAACAAAACAACAATGACAACAGTAGAAACAGGAAAAGTCCAAAATTTCTTACGAAATTTTTTTTTAAATTACTGAATCTGCTACATGGAATTTTCTAGTTGCTCATCAAAAACCTGAATTCCCTCCAGCATTCCTGGCAAATGGTATTCAGCATCTGGTTTCTCACTTTACTTGTGTTGGGTTGAAATCTGCACCCTGGTCCTAGTTCTCACCTTTGAAGCTACACAAAATAATAATATTTCGGAGCAAAACTACATAGCAATCACATAAACAAAGATATCTATCATGTCCTCTCTAATTTAAGCTAAGACTCCAAAAATCATTTTTTGTTGATTACAGAACCTGGTTTTGGTATTTCTTCGTATTCTTTTCACTTCATTTTAAACATAATACAACTAATCACCATAGCATTTTCAATTCCATTGACTGCACTAAATCCTAAGTATCTGATGCTATTAAATAATTCTCTGATCATTTTTACTACAATGTATTGTTTTTATTCATCATAGGACTCCACATTTATTACTGCAACTTTGTATCATTTTACCCATCATTTTGTTTACTATCCATCTCTGATTTGTATCATCCTCAAGCTTAGTGAGGTGTCTAGACTGATTTTTTTTTCATGTGTTAAAATGATGATCATTGGTGAGATGTTACATTTATATACATATTCTTTTTGAATAGGCATGTTTTCCTCCTGAAAAGTATTTATTGAAAAAAGGAATAGTTAGTATTATATTTGTCTCTAAAGAGAAGATTAACATATTTGATTCTATTTTGTGATGAGTTTTAATTAGTTTAATGAAGGAGAAGAAATACGTTTTCTACTCTAAATAGGAAAAAAAAAATCCTAAATCTGGAAGGATAATAAGGGTATGTAATCTTAGCCATCTCACTTTGCAGATTTCACCTTTAAATGAATGTGCTGGACCTAAAGGGCTCAAATTCTGTAATTCTGTTTATCTGATTTATATGTTGGTGACTACATAAGGAGTCACCTCTTTACACATCCCTGTCAGAACTGGCAGACAAGCTCTAATAAGAGCATTGTTGATTTGATTACAGTTATTATTGTCCTATGGAACTAGCCATAAAGGAGTTCAAAAATATGACTCTGAGAAATTATTTTGAGAAATGTGTGGTCATTTATGTAGCATTCTGTCTATGCAAACCATGCGTTTAGGAATTCCCCCTATTTAGAGAATTACCTTCTTCTGGGAAATTAGAGAACATTTGTCTCACACCCGTCTACTTCACAGCTGTTTTTCCTAAATATGTTTTTAAATCACCTTGGATGACCACTGGCTTGCTTTGCTGTTCCTCTCCACTAGAAAGTCTAGAACTACCATTCTCTCCAATAATACTGTTATTAATATGCTGCACTTTGCAAAATGACAATGTAAAAAAATCTATCTCCCTTCTTTGTCCTAAACTTTGAACTCCTGGCACAGCAGGTTTGTGTGTATGAAATTAATCAAAGACTCAGAGATGATTGGAGGAGGTTATTGCACAGAAAAAGCAAACTTGACACCAGATGCTAAATAGTACTTTCCATGATAAAAAAGAACCAATACATATATTTATGTATTTATACATAAGTAAATAGAAAACACAATAAAAATCTTCAAGTTAAGTATGGAATTGTCTCTTGAACAACCCATGATTGCCTTTTCTCACTGCAAATCTCCACTGGGCTTAAAAAAAAAAAAATTAAAAGTGAGCCTCAGAAACACAGTAGCTCTTTTTTTGTCAAATGATAACTTCAACAAAGTAACTTTATTATTTGAGCATTAATGTTCTTACCTTTGAGGAACTTGAACCAAAGGATTTCAGTATCTGTATAACTACTTCCCACCTAATACTAGAGGACTTAAAACATTTTCCCTGTTTGTTTTAGAAACTGTTATGGAAAGCCAGCCAGTCAGTCAATAAGTGCAATTTAAGACCGTAAGTGGAAATTGTGCTTAGTCGCTCCAACTTAGTCATGTCCAACTCTTTGTGACCCCAAGGACTGTAGCCCGTCAGGCTCCTCTGTCCATGGGGATTCTCCAGGCAAGAATCCTGGAGTGGGTTGCCATGCCCTCCTCCAGGGGATCTTTCCAACCTAGGGATGAACCCAGGTCTCCCACATTGCAGGTGGACTTTTTTTTTTTTAACTGCCTGAGCCACCAGGGAAACCCCAGAATACAGGAGTGGGTAGCCTATCCCCGGGCTCCCCTGGTGGCTCAGACGGTAAAGAATCCACCTGCATGGCGGGAGACCTGGCTTCCATCCCTTGGTTGGGAAGATCCCCTAAAGAAGGGCATGGCAATTCATTCCAGTATTCTGGCCTGGAGAATCCCATGGATAGAGGAGCCTGGCAGGCTGCAGTCCATGTGGTTGCAAGGAGTTGGACACAACTGAGCAACTCAGCAAGCACCACACAGTCTATCCCTTCTCCAGGGGATCTTCCCAAGCCAGGAATTGAACCAGGGTCTCATGAATTGCAGGCAGATTCTTTACCAGCTGAGCTACTAGGGAAGCCAAAGTGGAAATTAGCATAGTATTAATAATAGCTACCAAATATTTAACATTTACCATGTACCAAGAATTATGTTAAAAATTCCATATACTCCAATTTATTCATTGCTAACACAAAAATCTACGAGTTGCCTCTAAGTGAGTCCTTTTGTAGATCAGTAAGTATTTAACTTGCTTAATCTCACATGGCTAGTAAATGCAGAATTACAATTTAAAACCAGTTTGTCTAAATCAAAAGCAAGAAGGGACAAACTAATGAGGTGGGCAGAATCCAACGAAATATAAGTTTCAGTTGTATTAAAAGACCAACTTCTGTCATTTTTATTCAAAGATGGAATGGACTACCACAGAAGAAAAAAATTTTTCTTTTTTTGTTAATGAAAGTGGTCAAGTATGACCTGGAATACCATGAATGGGTTTATGAATGTTTGTTTCATGAGGAAATTACATGGTCCCTAAGAACACCTGAGAACATTTAGCAGAATCTTGAGGTTATCTAAGTACATCCTAAATAAAAACTGTTTGATAGAGACTTTGAATGAATATTTGGGTTCAAAGAATCAGGTATGGAATTTTTCTGGAATGAAGTGAGGAGGAGAATGTTTAAAGAGGATCTTGGTGATAAAATATACTTTGAAGGAACATTGGAAGAGAAAAATGGAGAGGTCCTACTAAGTTGTACTAAAAGAGGAAGATAAGTAGTAGATTATAAAATAATAGTATCTATTGAACACATACTAGGTGGTGACTATATACATTGATATTATCTCTAATATGGGTAACTTCCTTATAAAGTAGCCATTTTTATCATCATTGCACAAGAAAGTAAAATGAGGCTCACAAAGGTATGTACATTAGGTATATACCTACCTAATGTTCCCTAGCTAGTATCTCTAATTCAAAAGTACGCACTCTTACACACTGTGATTACATATGACAGAGCTGACATAATTTTCATTTTTTTTTAATTGATATATGTTCGATTTACAATGTTATGTTGGTTTCTGGTGCATAGGAAAGTGATTCAGTTATACACCCACAAACACATATATTCTTTTTATTTTCCATTATAGTTTATTAAAAGATATAAAATATAGTTCTCTGAACTATACAGCATGACCTTGTTGTTTTTGTGTTTTATTTATTTTAGCTTGTATCTGCTAATCCCAAGCTCCTAATTTTTCTTTCCCCACTTTCCTCTTTGGTA